CTTAAAAAGCAGAGACATCACCTTGCCAACAAAAGTCCGAATAGTCAAAGCTATGGTTTTCCCTGTGGTGATGTACGTAAGTGAGAGCTGGACCATAAGGAAAGCTGGGCACTGAAGAACTGATGCTTTTGAACTGTGGTGCTGGAGGAGACTCTTGAGAGTCGCCTGGACTGCAAGGAGAACAAACCTATCAATTCTAAAGAAAATCAACCCTCAGTGCTCACTGGAAGGACAGATCCTGAAGCTGAGGCTCCAATACTTTGGCCATCTCATGAGAAGAGAAGACTCCTTGGAAAAGACCTTGATGTTAGGAAAATGTGAAGGCAAGAGGAGAAGGGGACGACAGAGGATGAGATCTTTGGACAATGTCATCGAAGCCACCAGAATGAATTTGACACAACTCCAGGAGGCGGTGGAAGATAGGAGAGCCTGGCATGCTCTGGTCCATGGGGTCACGAAGAGTCGGGCATGACTAAACGACTAAAGAACAACAACAACTCCAGAGTCTCAGTCCATCACTCTATCCACTACACCATACTGGGAATTCCTAACTCTAAGTATAAATAATTGTAGTTCCAGTCCTTTAAGAGGCATTAACTCTGATGCAGAGCTCCAAACATGGAACAAGCTTATACTCTTTTTGGGATCAAGTGCTAGCATAAATTTCTCTGATATCATGATCAGTTCGTTGTCAGTTTTTTTTTCTTCTCAGACCCTGCACCTATACCTACAAGTCTATAAATATCTGATTTTTGTGTGATGATAACCTGTAAAGATGGTCAGATGGTCCACTGAGTGCTCATGGTCTGGAGGGAGGGTTTACAGTCTTTCCCAGATACATTTCCTCCATGCTTGTTGGATTACAGAAGAAGTCTTTTCAGGAACTGTTTTGTACCTTGGCTTTGCCTGTAGCAGGTAAGAAAGGATAGACTGTGTCTTTGGGTGATCCTCTATGGAGTCACACCTATAGGTTTCCTTTGTCCGTGCAACATGCTTCTAGAACCTTCCTAGCTGAGCTCTGAAGTTTTGGTGGGAACCCCATTCACTCCTATGTAAGAATAACACTTTCTTGTCATTGCATGTGCAACGAAATCACCAGAGTGCTATCATTCAGCTAAAACTCCATGTAAACTCCTTACAAGGATGATCACATGATTCCCTCCAATCACCTCAGTTCATAAATTGGCTCAGTCTTTTCTGAAGTACTTTGGGAATGCTTGTGTACTGTCCTGTGTTTCAAAACGGAGACCATCCTTGGAAGTGGAAGGCTACTTTCAACTGTCTGCTGACTCATAACCTGCCCAGGCTTGCCCACAAGTTTTTCACTTAGCTTTCACATGCTTAAGGTGGCTCTAAATCTATAGGTACTTTTGACTTTCTCAGTTTTGTGGTTCCGATTTAGGTTTGCCACCTCTTTTTACTCTGACAGGTTTCTCATCTTTAACAACTGAACCGTAAGCAGTTACAAGATATTTTCCTCAGTGCTGGGAATAAAAACTGTATTAAATATAGAGAGCAGAGATGTTTAAAAACATAATTCATTCTCGGAATAAGCATACAAAAATTCATAGATTTCTCCAGAGTGGTCGTATTGACCAGATGGGCAGAATACAAATGAAACAAACAAACAAATGAATAAATAAATAAATAAATAAATTTATTTGATGGAAACAGAGATTTTTAAGGGTTGGACTTGGGAGAAAGTAAAACTGAAAGATTTATCCATCCCTACAGTGTAACAAAGAGAAGGTTTATCAATGTGTCAGTGATTGTAATAAAGAGTATTGTCTTCATTGTTGTATCTTTTAGATTGGCAATGCCACATAACATTTACATTGGAAGTACAAAAACTTAAGTCCATGTTTGATATGTCATTCACGTCCACTGAGGCTTTGTGGTCCTTTATTTAGTCTTTTATAATCCCAAAACAAAATATTTCTTAAGAATTATTTCCTAATTATATTTTTGTTACTGTTTTATTTCCCTTGAAATCTATTTTCATCTCCCCCCTTTTATTTTATTATTAGTTATTCCTCACATTCAGTGTGCTGGGTATACCCTCAGAAAGCCTTTTAACCTGGCTGACAAGCTACAACTCTCCAAATCTCACAAGCCTACAGGGTTTCCCACCTTAATTAATTAGTAACCCCTTCCATGTCCTCTTAAACTGGGTCATGAATTAATTTAAAGCTAATTATGCATCATTACCTTTTACTTCACTGATGATTCTCCCCCCATTTTCTCCCTGCTGTCCAGCGGCTATAAACAATCCAGTGATGACACTGCATTAAAAAACAACAGGGTAAATTAGGTAAGATTTTTTACTGAACTGTCTGTCATCTGTGGATGGGGGATGAGGAAAATCTTCAAGCTTTCCAGAACTCTTTGTCATATCTGGAAAAAGAAGCAAGCAAGTTGCAGACTAAAATACAAGAACCCATTACTGTACATTATTCATAAGGATACTCTGGAAGAACAATTAGGTGACGGAGATAGTTGGTTCTTTGAAATGAAATTGATGCTTTTCATCTCTACTTTGTGAGCACAGCTGTGAGAATAAGGAGAAACTTGTGGCAAGAGTGATATATTTCTGTCAGGATCTCTATCAGTGATGGACCATCATCTCACCTGGATTTGTGGTCTTAGGCTTTGTAAGAATACTAGGACACTAGGAAATACTCCTTACCTCCCAACACCTTGGTAGTTTGACACTTCATGGCGAATGGATTAGCACATTATATCATTTCAGAATCAGTGTCTCCCAACACCTTGGTAGTTTGACACTTCAGCACTTCATGGCGAATGGATTAGCACGTTATCTCATTTCAGAATCAGTGCGATGCAGTGGCTTCAGTGCTACATTTAACTGCAGAAAATTTTCACATCCAAGTTCTCAGGGTCTTTGATGAGACACTTTACTTTATACTCAACTGCCGCACAGGTTTAGAGAGTTATGACCCTGCAGAAAATTTTCACATCCAAGTTCTCACTCGTCCCAGAGTCTTTGATGAGACACTTTACTTTACACTCAACTACCGCACAGGTTTAGAGAGGTATGATGTTTTAGGCTGATAATTGGAAATGTTTTCAGAATTTGTGACTATTGGAAGAACACCAGGTTATCAGTGGAATTAATAATAATGCTTGTAGATCTTTTGGGAGAGGCTGTTTAATCTGTGATAGCTTTTTCATACGGATTATGAAGGGACATCTTCATACCATAAATATGCTTTTATCTACAATTAATTGGTAAATATGTGCAAAACTTAACAGGTCATTCACCAAGTCTAGATAAGTCAGTTGTTTTGCGCACTACCTCTGTGAAGTTTGGCTTTTGATGTTGTGGTGTAATACACTTCTCCAGATTGTTCTGTAGAACAAATTACTGCAATCAATCATTCATTTTGTTGACTTGAAGTTGGAGTCAGCAATGTATGTTCATATAGATATGCTGCACCTGAGTGTTTACATTTATCTAGAAGTCATTTAGCCAATAATGTGGGATAAAACTATAGAAGATAACTCATCATTTTATTGTGCGATAGAATTGTGCTATTAATCAGTAAAACTGTATTACTTTACTCATTTAGAGTTGGGAAGGGCAGGAGGAAAGAAAGCATTGTTATGGGCACCAGAGATGAAAATAGAGCACAGCATCATCTGGGCTACTGCAAGACTAATACATGTATGCTTTGGGAGTGAAAAATATTGTCAGAAATCTTGACTTTATTTCAACAGACAGTCAGTGACCACATTTCCAGAGAAGGGACATTTACTCAAAACCATTAAAAGAAGAATGGACATATTGTTTTTTGTTTGTTTTGTTTTCGCTGTGTCCAAATACATGTAAAATTTGGGAGCCATATCCGGATCATACAATTGGCGATCAACAGCTTTAAATGTGTTGTTAATGACAACAGTTTTTGATTATAGCCAAAGATGCAAGCATGCCGTGAGTCAGAGAGATCTGGGGCTTCACAAACATGCAGCTGCAAAGAAGTGATTTCCCTGAAGTTTTGTGCAAAAGCACCTTGGCTCTTGCACAGTACACATGCTGACCTTTGTTTTAGGCCTCTTACAAGTATTTTTGTACCACAGGCCAGTGAGTTGTAGCATTTGCATGCATTTTTTTTAAAAAATCAGTGATATGTAATCATGCAGATGGTGGGTTTTGTTTTTTTGTTTTGAAAAATGGGGAAGTCAAGGCTTACTGTAAAATTGCAATTATAATTATGACTAACTACTGGGTACATGAATTTTGGAACTCTAACCATAACATACTAAAAGCATTTCTTCAAGCAGCATGCCTTCTGGATTTTGTTGATTGCACAAATCAAATCTGCTACTATAATGTTTATACAATAAAACCTATGTTTGAATACATGATTAGGAACCGTGATTGGTATTGTATTGTGATGCCAAATTCAAATTATTTGGATACTTGGTTTCAATGTGTCTAATTTACTACTGTAATTCCCATGATAATTCAAGTGGAATAAATGGAAATCTATAAGAATTTAATATAAAAAGCTGTAATTAGTCTGCCTAAGAGGGGTGTTTGGGAGAGCCTAACACATATCTGAAAATCCATTAAAGCCAATTATTACAGCAGTGAGACAGAAAACAAGCTGCAGTTTCAAATATATCCATAGATTTTACACATGTGTGCTCAGCTTATAAATGAATATGCATGATTTGTTTGCTAATTTCTTAAATACAATTCAGGCTTCAAAGGTCAGGACAATCTTTATAACCAAAGAGCATTGTTTGGAACAAAGGTGAGTATAAGAGTGGTTGCAGCAGCAGAGGAATAAAACTCTTACTGTGTATAGTTAGGGAAGACATCGAGCAACAGCCAGGCTGCAGAAGGTGCAAAGGAAGGAGGTCTGTGTTGCATGCACGCGTGTGCACGCAGGAGGAAAAAGGTAGACTGCTAATCATGAAGACTGGAGCTATTCCCCAAAGTGCCAAAACGTGTCCAGGTATAATTAAAAAAATAATAATAAGAGAGGGAAAGACAGCAGTTGCTATCACCTATTTACTGTCAAATTAATTCAGCCGCTTCTGAGCTGCCTTCTGTATCTGGAGACTGAGGGTGTCACTCGCTTTACGATCCATCAGGAGAAGTGAGAGTGCTGTTCTGTTTGATGGCTCTGATAATGGGAAGAAGCTAAGCAATTGCAACAGAAACATCATAGATTTTCTCATAATTATCTGACCTGTTACACCGTGTCACTCTGCCGCCAAACACACTGTTTTTATGTCAGAAGCTGTATGGGCATTCTTTGCTTTGATCATTCCATATTCTGCAGATGTCAGCATTACTGTATTTTAATTGACTCTGGGATAGTGTTAAAAAGCACCTTCTATTTTGGTTGCTTAGACCTGATGAGACTGACAACCTGGCATTTATGAACATTAGGCCTGCATGGTAACTATGTCAGGATCAGTGTGTTTTCCTGTAATCCTGCAGGAAGTCATAACAAAATGACGATTGTAAAACCGTTAAGCAACCTGTCTTCATGGATGGCTACCTCAGACTTTTTTTTTAAAGCCTTAGGTATGATATAAACCCCTCCCAATGGCATGATTTTTAAAAATGTATATTCCCTCCCCCTTGTGATATAAAATAATTTGGTGGCATAGTAGATCAGAAATGTTATCCATCATGGCTAGGGAGAAGATGCAAGAAAATATCCCCTCCAAACAAAGATAATTGGCACACTCCCAGCATGCTGTCTTAGCATGTTTGTTTTCCACTGTGCCCACAGGGGGGAAATCTACACTGCAGGTCACAGAGTCATATAAATGAGGAGCTACACAATCTTACACAATCTTTGCAGAAGGACAGAAACTTCTGTACATAAACAATATGTCTCAGATTGGCCTGTAGAATCCAGGCTTTACTAAGGGCAAAGCCTGGGCACACATGGAGTCCTTTCTATCACTTTTAGCACCAAAGCATCAGAGCAGCAACAGAGTTAAGACAAGTGAGATTCAATTAACCTAACAAAGGCACATCCTATTAACCCCTTTCCACAATCTAATAACTGGGCTCCAGACAATTATGAGTCAAACCTATGATCATGGACATAAGATCACTGGAAGGAAGCGGAAATCATTGTTTTAACATGTTGAGCTGTAACTGAGGGCGCAACTACATTGTCTAAAAAATCCAACTGTTGTCTTGGGTATTATTGTACCAATTTATGTCATATGCTCTTTGTGCCGCTGTTCCTGTCCTCGTGGGGCAACCTCAATTGAACTGGATTGACTCAGAGCAGGGAATCACACTACTTTTTAAATTGCCATAAACAGACTCTGGTTTGTGCCTTAATCCACCCCTGGATCTGTCCTGACACCACCTGTATTCTGTCTTTGTCTGTAACTGTCTTGTCTGGAGTTAATGCTTCTCCAAACTTTTGCAGTGGGAGTTACTTTTTTCATTCCTCTGAATTTGCCAATAATTTTTTTTCTTATTTCCTTTAAGTGGCATAGTTCTGCATCACTGTTGCAGAGAGTATATTTTTCTGCAATTGAGATTTTTCACTCATTTCCTTTGAGATCTCCTGTTGTTGCTTAGTTGTTAAGTTGTTAAGTCTTTGTGACCCCATGGACCAGAGCACGCCAGGCCCTCCTGTCTTCCACTGCCTCCCGGAGTTGGGTCAAATTCATATTGGTAGCTTCAATGACACTGTCCAACCATCTCGTCCTCTTTCGTCCCCTTCTCCTCTTGCCTTCACACTTTCCCAACATCAGGGTCTTTTCCAGGGAGGCTTCTCTTCTCATGAGATGGCCAAAGTACTGGAGCCTCAGCTTCAGGATCTGTCCTTCCAGTGAACACTCAGGGTTGATTTCTTTCAGAATCGATAGGTTTGTTCTCTTTGCAGTCCAGGGGACTCTCATGAGTCTCCTCCAGCCCCACAATTCAAAAGCATCAATTCTTCGGTGGTCAGCCTTCTTTGTGGTCCAGCTCTCACTTCCATACATCGCTACTGGGAAAATCATAGCTTTGACTGTGTGGACCTTTGTCGGCAAGGTGATGTCTCTGCTTTTTAAGATGCTGTTGAGGTTTGTCATTGCTTTCCTCCCAAGAACATTTTTTAATGTTGTGGCTGCTGCCACCATCTGTCATTTTTTAATTTTGTGGCTGCTGCCACCATCTGCAGTGATCACGGAGCCTAAGAAAGTAAAATCTGTCACTCCTAGAGTTTTTCTAGACTTGAGATCTCCTAGGCTGATATTAATAAGTGTAGACCTTCCTGTGCAGTAGGCTGGCGAACCTTGCAAATGCAACAAGAAAGATGGCAAAAAAGAAAAAAAAAGCCTCCAAAATGCAGATGTAAGAAAAACAAAGAGAAGAAAGAAGGAAAAGAAAGCAGCCAGTAGAGTGTTTGTACAGAGAAGCTAAAGTAATCAGATGGAAGGAAAACCAAATGCCAGTGATAAGCCAGCAAGACTCTAGCACTGATATGTAGCACTACAATGGGTTTATTAAAAAAAAATTTATAAAGAGAAACAATTCAGACAGTGGACATAAATGCTGATTTCCCAGTGAGACACCATCTACACCACCTAAGTCTTAAAAAAATTATAATCTCCCCTTCCACTCTCCTGAAGAGCAGAGGAAATGATTAATGTGCCAACATCGTGAAGTGGCTCACATATTGCGCCTCTTCATGATACTGGCAAATTCAACCTGGAAGGCCTGCTTTGGATCAGTTCTAGCAAACACATGTGTTGGAACTGACCCAAACCATAGTGATCCTATCCATACCAAAAAAAGAGAGTAGAAGCTACAAAAAGGTCTCAGAATAAGACTGGATAAGACAACTCTAGGGGCAGGCTGGTTCACTCCAACAAAGCCGTCATCTGATTGCTATCTTTAAGAGTGATCCAGCCCATTCCTGCAATGGACCAAACAGCAGGCTAAATGCACGTGTAGTCATCCTGTCAGTGTACAGTGACAAATGCCTATTTTGAATTGTTAACTTGCAGAGATTCATTGCTGAAATGTACACGGATGGTGTTATGCTGGTGTAAATACATAATAGGATTTTTGGGTGGCATACCTTTTAGGTTCTCATGCTGATGAGAGCCTCATGGCGCAGTGGTTAAACTGCTGTACTACAGTTAAAACTGTGCTCACAACCTGGGGTTCAATCCCAGATAGCAGCTCAAGGTTGACTCAACCTTCTATCCTTCCGAGGTCAGTAAAATGAGTACCCAGCTTGCTGGGGGGGGGGCAATGTGTAGCCTGCATAATTAACTTGTAAACCGCCCAGAGAGTGCTTGAAGCGCTATGGGACGGTATATAAGCAGCACACTTTGCTTTTTTTTTTTAATATAGAAAACAATGATATCACATTGGGTCATTCCTCAATGACAAGATAATAACTTCAATATGTTAAAAATGTGTGTGGAACTCCTAATATGACTGCTCTGCCACTTACCGAAAGAGGATTGGCGTAGGTGTTTTTTTTTTATGCTAAGAAATCAGTACACGCAGGTAACCAATCAGTGAATATGTGTCCCATTGAAAGAGGGGCATAAGACAGCAGTTTTATTTTCCCCTTGTTTGATGTCTATATGTTGAATGTACACGGCAAAGCACAGAAATACAAACTCCCACAAGACAATCTGAGTCTTCCAAAGTGCTCTGGATCAGTGTTATATATCAAAAAGATTTAATAAGGAGAAAAAATGCTGAATAAAGTTGAATTTTGTTAATGCTTGAACTAAATATTGTCAAATGACCTAAACATAATTTCTCTTTGTGTCAAATGTGAAGAGAATACATTTGAGGTTCTCAATTAGTTTAATGAATACACCAAGGAATCTCATATTGCTTCTTGTTAAACTTCTTGAGATTTATCGAGACTGATATGAATTTATATCAGACACTGTCAGGACTACTTAGTCTGCAAGTCCTTTAGCAAAAGCCACAGTTTCTGAATTATAGAAATACTACTTAGACACAAATTAGGCGAGATTATTATTATTATTTCCTTCCAATGGAGCAGGCCTTAAAAGCACACATTTCTCTATCCCTACACAGAACGTACTAGTGCTTTTCTGACTTTAAAATAATGACATATACATTCTTTTTGCAAGAAAAAAAGGATGTTCATACCTTTCAATGTGAATCAGTCCATATCCCAGGAGAACAGAATACAACGCTTAAACCATGGAACTAGATACAAATAAAATAAAATAAAATAAATCAGCTGTTACGAGGACTAGCGCAAAAAACTAAATAGGGCTTGGAAATGTTACTTTTGAGGATTACAATTTCATAATTACCACATCGCTCTCTCTTCCTGGTGGTTGGCGGGAGGCACTCTGTAGGAAGCTGCATAATGCAGAGAAGGCTGGAGCTGGCAGGGGTTGAAGCCAAGAGCCCAAAGGATATGGAACTACCCCTGCTCTCTCTCTCTCTCTCTCTCTCACACACACACACACACAGCATGGGTTCAAATCTGCTCAGTCATAAACTGGGATGGGAATAACTGATAAAAGCACTCCTTAAGTGCCTCACCTTGAAAACCCTCTTCATCGTCTAGTCGTTTAGTCGTGCCCGACTCTTCGTGACCCCATGAAAACCCTCTTAGGGCTGCTCTAAGTCAAGTCCTGTAAGTTAAATTGCATATAACATACATATAATGTACATTTTATTGCACAGCCACAGACCTGGACAAGAAATAGAAATGAAACAAATATATAAAAAAACATAACACTTGGGCACACAAGGCACATTAAAATAACTTAAAATATATCATGTAAATATCTACTCAACAATGCACATTTTATTGCACAGCCACAGACCTGGACAAGAAATAGAAATGAAACAATTATATAAAAAAACATAACACTTGGGCACACAAGGCACATTAAAATAACTTAAAATATATCATCTAAATGTCTACTCAACAATACACTGTCATTTGTTGTTGTTTAGTCATTAAGTCATGTCCAACTCTTCATGATCCCATGGACCAGAGCACGCCAGGCCCTCCTGTCTTCCACTGCCTCCCGGAGTTGGGTCAAATTCATGTTGGCAGCTTCAATGACACTGTACAACCATCTCGTTCTCTTGATAGGTTTGTTCTCCCTACAGTCCAGGGGACTCTCAAGAGCCTCCTCCAGCACCACAATTCGAAAGCATCAATTCTTTGGTGGTCGGCCTTCTTTATAGTCCAGCTCTCACCTCCATACATTGCTACTGGAAAAACTATAGCTTTGACTATGCGGACCTTTGTCGGCAAGGTGATGTCTCTGCTTTTTAAGATGTTGTCTAGGTTTGTCATTGCTTTCCTCCCAAGAAGCAGGTGTCTTTTAATTTTGTGGCTGCTGTCACCATCTGCAGTGATCATGGAGCCCAAGAAAGTAAAATCTGTCACTGCCTCCATATCTTCCCCTTCTATTTCCCAGGAGGTGATGGGACCAGTGGCCATCATCTTAGGTTTTTTTTTATTTTAAGCTTTAGACCATTTTTGCGCTCTCCTCTTTCACCCTTATTAAGAGGCTCCTTAATTCCTCCTCACTTTCTGCCATCAGAGTGGTATCAATGGCATATCAGAGGTTGTTGATATTTCTTCTGGCAATCTTAATTCCGTTTTGGGATTCTTCCAGTCCAGCCTTTTGCATGATGTATGCTGCATATAAGTTAAATAAGCAGGG